ATGAAACAATATGTAAACATCTAAGGAATATGGGAAAACTCTATAAAAAAAAAAAAAGGTGTTTGGGTGCCTCACAAACTCTCCAATGATCATCGTTTCCAACGTGTGAACGTTGTTTCATCTCTTCTGGCACGTAATATGAGTGAACCATTTTTGGACAGAATTGTCACAAGTGATGAAAAATTAATTCTCTATGCAAATATTAAACTCCAAAAACAATGGCTCAGTCCTAAATAAAAACCACTTCCGACCCCAAAACGTGGACTTCATCCACAGAAAGTGATGCTTTGCATTTGGTGGGACATAAAAGAAGTAATTCATTTCGAACTCCTCAATCCACAGTGAACTGTCAATGGAGAAATCTATAGTGAGCAAGTGGAATGTATAAATGAAGCCCTTCATCAGAAATGCCCTTCACTCATCAATCAGAAAGGTGTTCTTCTCCACGACAATGCACATCCACATGTGGAATGTTTGATACAATACAAGACTATGGAGATAGGTTGGGAAGTTCTCCTCCAACCACCGTATTCTCCAGAATGGAGACTACTTCATTTAATAAATATTTTGTTTTGATGTACAAGTTTTAAGGTTTTTTCATCTAAAAAAAATAAAGTGACATTAATTTCTTGATGACCTAATAGTTTAAGAGGATGGAACAATGGGTCCCAAAATGTTATGTTAAAAATATAGTTTACTATAATAAGATACTAAAATTTAAGTCTGTGATCTTCAAGCTTGTTAATAAGACAGGTCAAAGAATTAAAAGCTAAGCCTGATATATGTCTCTCTAGAGTAATTGAAATAAAACAATTTCAACATGTTTATCTGAACTTGGAAACAAGTATCTGTCTCTAACTAAACGTCTTTCAAGAGGCCATATTATCAACATAGACAGAACCAGTGGTTTTAACAGTTATCTATTACAGCTCTGTACTGACCAAATACTAAAAATTAATTTTAATAGCTACCAAATGTGATTAAATAAAATGGTTAATGACACAATTTTTTTAACATTTCACTAAAGTATTACCATAATTTGATAAATATTTAAGATAAAAAACATAATAATAATAATATTTATTTCCAATTTACATTTAAACCCCAGTATATTAAGTTTAAAAACTTTCATTAAGATAACTAGCAGAAATACCCATCCTCCGGGCAAGTATAACTGCTACTTCCTGCGGAAGGCTATTGGGCCTGCAGCTTTTTCTAGAATTGTCTGACAGTTCTACCAAAATGTACTCATACTTGACATTCAATAATGTTCACAATCCATGAGAAAAAGGATCTTCTTGAAATTTTAGTTTAAAAATGAGCTACTATCACAGCATTACATCACAGAGTATATTTTATTGAATATTTCAATAATAGATGCAGTTATAAGCAAAAGTGCCATGCTTTTCTGTTGCAACACTGAGATTTTCACTAAAGAAAAGGAAATAATTTTTTTCAAAGTTTGTTTTTTGATTGTTGTATATTTGAAACTCACTCCTTTTTTGTAATTTTTTATGGGTTAAATCTGAAACTTACTCCTTTTTGTTTGTAATTCTTATTGGTTAATTCCGAAACATATCATTTTTGTGGAAATTTCAATAGTTTTATTTATTACTCAGCTATAAAAATACTGCCTAGTTATAAAAATATTACCCAATTATTATTGGTGATGATGGCTAGTTTCGAGATTTGAGTTTTGAACATATACATTGCAAGCTCCATTATAATAAGATGTTCAACATCATTGAAAGTAGGTTGTACATGTAGTTCCAAAGTAGCCATTATGGAAGTAAGGTGAGCAAAAGTTTAGCGAAAAGATGTTTTCTAGTTTTCAATAAGATAAATTTACAAATCTAAATCTAGCTGGTAGAAAATAAAACTACTTTGGGAAAGATGCAGTAAGGCAATACTAAAATCTGTAGCATCAATTGGTATACTTTGAAAGGAAAAGTGGATTGAAAGAGGAAAAAAAAACAATACCTTTTTATTTACATGCTTTGAAATTTTAATTATAAAACAAATTATATAGAGACCTACAGCAAACAGCCTATCTAAATGACACAAAGTGAATTTAAACTATTATTTAACTTATCAAATTGATGTTTTAAAGAAGTGGAATGTTGATTGCATGTTAAATTTCTACATGAAAAAAAATGTTAAAGGCAGGAGAAGAGGTGATGGTAGAAGCTGAAATTTCAGTATCTCTAATCTTTAAAAACAAAAGTATGTGAGCACCATTTGGAGTTTCATGGAACAAAGCAATTAATTGATCAAACAGTTGTAAAGATAAATATGGATCAACATAAATTCTTTACAGGTTCATATGAAACATACAAGTGTTTGGCTGCAAAGTATTCAGCTAGCAACAAAGTAGTTTATCATACATGAATTTTTAACAGTGGTAAATAAATGCTAAAATGTCCTCAAAACATTTTTATATATAGAGATTGATTTTAATTTTTTGTGTATTTTGGTTAAAGATCAATATCATAGTACAAAATCTTAATACATGACATTTTTAAAATAACAACAGCAAAGATATTGCTAACTGATCTATCAAATTCATGAAGTTAGATGATTTACTTCACTCGGTTATCAGCTGTTTAGGTAAGAAATTTGATATTCAGTGTGAAGTAGGACAGTTAAAAATGTATTTCAAGAATTAACAACTGATATGTCTTCCATAGCTGTTATATGTCACTTGTTTTTAATTAATTTTCAGAACAGGAAAAGCATGCTTTGTTAGTATATTTTTATCATGCAAAACTCAGTTCAAAGCTATTGTAAATACTAAACCAGTAAGAGTTAAACACTCAGAATAAAATACATGTAAAAGCACTTCTTTTTATTCAGCCGTGCAAATCCAAAAATGTTTTTTTTTCTACAATTCTGATATATATTGCCAAATGAAACACTGTTTATGCCCCAACCTTGCTAATATATTAAAATTCAACTTTATGCACATGGAAGTTCAATGCATTGTGTTAACAAATGCAAATCCACACAGTATTAAAACTTCGAAGCAGTAAAACTTTTGATAAACAGTAAGAGCATATATCCCTTTAACTGGATTTCCTAAGATTCCATGTTAACATACAAGTACATTTCTTTAAATCTTTCAGTATCGGATAAATCTCGCCTTCAAAGGAATACATAAAATGCATCAAAATTTCAGTTCATTATATTTAGAAGAAACAGCACAAATGTAGAATTATTTTTAGTGAAAGCAGCCTGGAAGTCTTTGGATTAACCATTCTTCAATTACAATATTACTGTATAAAACAAGTTATGGAAGATTACTTCAAAGTTATTCCAATAAATAATGAAAAACTACAAATGAATATCTGCTCAAACAAATTTCAACAAGAAATATTAGTTGTTGATAATGTTATCCATTTAATTATATTAATCATTTTTGAGTTACAGCTAATGTGATTAAAACTTAATAAGCATTAGTGTATGGTGACAGGTTTAACCTACTGAATAAAAAAATCAGTTATTCAGGTAACTAATACTTCTTTCCTTTTTTGATCACTTTATGGTCTAATAATTAACATTAAACAATTACACTGTGTACCCACTTTCCAACACACTGAATAAACTAGAAATTGTTAACGTGCAATTCTATACAAAATTCGGTTAAATCTGGTTCTTTCTTTAAATAACACAACTAACCATGAAGATGTACAATGAAACAAGTATTTAAAAAATAAATTATAAGTATTGATCCACACATCACGGAATGTTACAAACTTTATTTTCCTTTATGCATTTTGTAACATAAAGTAACACTTATCTTACTAGAGTAAACTGTTCAGCCCTAAAAGTTTTAAATAATCAAAATGCTGCACATTTTCTCTTGTTAATAGAATACTTATGAAATTCCACACAGACCCAAAATAAATTAGTTCTCAAAGCATTATTACATTGAATGACAGTAATATAACTAAATATATATATATATATATTACACAAATTATATATTTTGGACCATATACTTAACTGAAAAACAAAGTAAAGAGTTTCCTTTATCACTACAATCTAATCATAATCCATTTCTCAAACTGGCTGTTTTGAGCAAGATAGATTATGAAATAACATTATTAGTATTAAAGCTGACTACTATTTATATTCTCATTCCCCACAGTTCAAGTAAGCACTATAATATTACATAATGTACAAGAAACCAAAACAAATCATTTTTAAATATCATATAAAATACAAGTTATGTGTGGATATATAAAGAAAACTTGTTCTCTTGTGCAACAAGAAATTTCTAACCACATTTTTTTCTGGATTACTAAATAATGAATTCACTGGGTTTTCAATGACAATATATACGTAATGAACAGTGATTAATATTATCAAAACTTGTTTTCTTTAGATATTCTATATATATGTTACAGAAAATTTTAAATAGTTGGTTTTACTACTTACCAACCTTAGTTGCAGTGGTTGTTTATTAGACAGAGCCACCAATTTTTATTGGTTAGCTGTTACCTAAATGTATACTACTTTTGTAACCAAATGATCATGCCAAAAATTTTGAAGTAGTCTTAATAATAATAATGCATTCTACAAGTTTATAAAATGAAAAAAAAAGCTAGTGTGGCAATATATATTCTAATCAAACATAAAAAATAATTCAAAATCCTTTCAATTAATTTTAGCCGAATACCATAACATTTTGTAACATTTCATGAATTAAATTCAAAATCTTAAACTTATAATACTAAATATAAACTTTCAGAGTAGATATTTTTGTATTTGCGTTATTTGAAAGAGCCCAAATCTCAGAACAATTACTTAAAAAAAAACACCTTCAACTAGCACATTTTACTAGTAACCACAAGTTTATTCTGTGCACAAAACACACACCAACTTTATATTTCAATTTGTCCGTAGTTAACCCTATGTTAGTCTTCCAAGGTATTCACGGACCCCAAAATATTGAAACATCGGTGCAGACAAATAAAAGCATGTACATGTTTGTTGTTCTCAGTAGCTTCAGTATTCAGTTAGTTTATGTTAAATTGTTACACTTAGTAAAAAAATTGTAATATTCAATGTTCATTTATTGATTGATAAAGGAAAAGATTTTGAATGTTAGTGTTTTTTTTGTTTCCTAGATAATAGCTAGTTGTTATTTAAATATTTTAAAATTAATTTTTTTATGATGGGGTTTGCTCGGTCCCTGGAAGATTGACTATGGAAAATTTTTACACAAGACTAATGCAGGGTTAAGCACAATGGGCTATTTATGCTTTATAATCTGAAAAGATTTAGAAATAGTTAAATATACAGGGTGTCTCAAGAGTTTGTACTCATGGCCATTCTGTTATGTATAACTGTTATTTTATTTATTTTTTTCAGACAAAAAATATATGTAATGGATGACTATATACAGATCAAGAGAAAATACATACGATATGTGTGTGCAAGTTGATGGCAAGCAATTTTAACAATTGTTAAAATAAAGGTTAATAGTGAATTCTGTCTATGAGTATGGACCTTTGAGATACCCTGTACATAAATGTATGTACATACCTCTATAATTATGGCATTTTAGAAATAATCTGTTAAAAAAACCAGTTTAGCAAAAGCACAAGAAGCTGTAAGACTAGTCCAAATGAGAATAAACATCATGTTACACTAACAGGAATGGAAGAACTAACTTCAACTTATAAAAATTAACAAGCCATATATATAAATACATGGCACACAAACTAATGTACTACATGTATATTCATTAAATAATAAAGGTAACTTGCAGAAATAAGTGAAACGATCAAGTCACCAGCAGAATATTTAAATGACTTAAAAATAAATACCTTTATAGAATGGAAATGGACTAACAATTAAAAATACTTGAATAGTATGCAGTGTGTGGCTGCTTTAAAAAAAAACGAAAAAAAAACAACAAGATTTTCTACAAACTAAAATATGTGTAGTGACAATAAAGTCTGCAAAGTAAGAACGTAAATATTTGGTTGGTTTAGAACCTATATTTAATCCACTGGAACAACAATTGGTCTTTCAGGAAATATAAACACAAACTAAGTGTTGTAAAAACTATATTTAATATTTAATTCATTTCTGGATTAATTATTCTGGAAAGACAGTACAAAGTTGGATGATTTAGAAACTGTATTTCATCCACCATAGAACAGTCATTCAGGAAGTATGGATGTCATCTAATTGACCTAGAAACTATTTCATCCACCATGGAAAGTCATTCAGGAAGTATGGATGTCATCTAACTGATTTAGAAACTGTATTTTTTCAATATGAAAAGCAGTTAAAAATGAAACCAAATGCTTGATTGCTACATTTACTTTATACCTCTTATTTGCAACTCAAATTTTTTGCATAAATTTTCAAACCTAATGATACACTGAAGTTCTAGCTCCACAACTCCAAACTCTCATTATATTTAAAGTGGTACAAAATCTCGCTCACAGCACTTAAGTGAAAACTACACTTCCAGCACTACCTATATAAAATATGTATTTAAATTTCTCTCTCTTTTTTTTGATAAAGTTTGCATTAAATATATACACCCATAATCTGTAAAGAGTATAAAATTTTGTAATTCCACTAATTTTTTTTCTAGTACATGTATATGACACAACTTAAACATCCAGTATCTCCAAGTTAGAATTATCACACAATTGCTTAAAACAGTTGAGCACCTATAAATAAAAGCAAATATGAATATCAGTTTATCACAAACTTATTACACTTTGTTTGAAAACTTTAGAGGGAGAACTAGTAGCAAACTACTGAGATAGTGTGTTAAGAAACATGCTTTTATCACACACAAAACTGAAGTGGGTTAAGATTACCCACGGAAGATTGGAAATGCTATCTCCAAATGTATGTGCACAAATTTGAAACTAATTCTAATCTCATTGTAAATACACAGTTATAAAACTTCAGTTCTCGTTCAAAACAAAACACAGAATGTGTATTGTACATGCTCAGACACTAATTTCTGAGTCTATTTGACAAAGCACTAAAATATGCACACACAGTGCACTCACAAAATTACACTAAAAGGTGTTTAACATACACAAGATATATGAAACCAATGTTTTTCTGCTAAAATTTACATTTTAACCAGTAAACTTTTTGATGATTTAACTATAGAAAGAGATGCTTATGAGAAAGAAGAGGTATTTAAGACAATGTCGTAAAATTTCTTTGCTAATTTCTTATTAGCATGAGAAAAATACACATGTAGTAATTTTTACCCAATAATACCAAATACTACTACAAGAGTATATCTGAACTTTGAAGTCACCAGATTATTCTAAGTATGGATATTACAGTACTGTGTTACTTTGCACAAGATCAAGAATCACTACTAGACATCTATTTAACGAGAAGTAATTCATCAGTTTCCTTAAAACTAAAGAAGTAAAATAATGTGATAAAATATAAACTTAGCTTAAGTATACTAAAAGTTTTTATCAATTTCCTACTTTATCCATATCAATTTAACAAGTTAATTTGAAACAATATACTTTAATAGTTTCTTAACGTTTGTAACAATGACTCACACATGGTAATGAAGTTACTAAATGTAACTATTCATCACAACCTGTGTATTGGCTTTTTTTTAACCACAAGAGCAAAGCACCACCTATTTTTTTAAACTGAGCAAGTAATTTTAATAATTGCTTGTTAGACAACATGATAGTTGTAATGTATCATGACATTTAATGAACAGTATCAAATTAAACACATGAAAATGAAAAAATAAACAATTATTTTTGAATAACATACAATTTAGTATAGTTTCGCATTAACTTGCAAGCTACCCAAATAAAGAAGATACATTTAATACAACAAATAAATAATTTCTTAAAATATCAAAAGGCAGACACTACTATTTGATTCATTTCTCAATTTTTAACATCAAGAGCTGACGACTCAAAAATGAAAATTATGAATAAACACGAAAGCAATAAAAACGCATGATCTTTAAAGATAAAAAAAACCTCTTTACAGCAAAACAATATTTTTTATCATTTTATTACTTTACAAAACTTTTAAGTTCCAAGTCATTTCAACTATGTATCATTGTTAATGAAGATTTCATTTCTGGTAGAATATCAGATACAGTGTAAAGCTTTCATTTATATATACACACATACATGTGCATGTTAGCACCAAAGTTCAAAATCAGTGGCCAAAACTGTTAATTGAACTGCAACCTCAGACTTTTGTTTTCAGATGGGTTACCTCATTTACAGCCATTTAAGTTCTATAACATCTCATGATGATCTATATGAAATGATATTAGTCAAACTTTATTTCTGTTCAAATATATAAAAAGTTAAATAGATATATTGGTAAAAAAGCATAGTATTAAAAAAACATTAACTTTCAAAAAATATACTTAAAATTTTCACCAAATTTCATAATGTACAATTCATTTTTAGTAGGTAAACACAAGATAGTAGTTTCAATGCTTTAACTCTGTTTGAAATACAAGTAATAAATAAAATTACCTTGCATTCAATCACTTTTAATTTACACACAAATAAAATGGGTTGTTATACTTATGATCAGGTTTAGCATTTAAAGGTTGCTTAAGGTTAAAAACATATAAAGCAATTTCGTACTACAGCTTTATCAATCAACAAATCTATTTATCAGGACCATTAGATACTCACACGATAATACTGCATTATGATACGCAGCTCAAGTGGGTAAACTACTACTGGTATTTCTTAACTGTTATGCATACTTAAAAACACACAAGTCACAGAATATAATGGAATGGTATTCTTGATTTACAACAACAATAAAAACACAAACTATCACACAAATGGAAAAGCATGAAGCTACAAAGAAATATATCTTCATAAACTTCACTTTATATCCCAATTACTGCAATTAATTCTAAAAAAAATACTGTAACAGGCATTTTTATCTCCTCATATAATCTGCAGTTACTAATCAAGCAACCAAAAATGTTTTTGATCCAAAAGGTGATAACAAGTATTTTAAATATATTTTTTTACCATAAATGTATCAGTTCTGTCAAACTTACCAGTAACTTCACATTTATCAAATGTTATACACAAAGAACTTCTAAAAACTTTCATAGTGTGGTCTGCACATGCATATATATTCTATATCTTTTACTATGATTTATGATTCACTAACTTGAACATATTACATTATCATAAGTCTCCCTTACTGATCAATGAATACATTCCACTGCTTCACTATTTGAAAACTAACTTCTAATCAGAATGTCATGAACTTACTAAACCACAGAAGACAACTTCAATGAGAAGTAAAAAGAACCTATTCTGTGAAATAAACATTAATATCAACTTCTGGAAAAAAATATTTTAAAATCAACATTACGAAGTAGAAAATTAGTTAATATACCACTATTATATTATTGAAGGAATGAAAATTAGCCTAAGCAATGTGTAATGACTTCAGTAGAAGTTTTTTACAGCCACACAATTCAATATATGAAACTTCAGATTTCTACTGAATATAATACACCCAACTACCCTGAATAAAAGTTAAGAAAACCTATTAAGTATGTATTACGGGAAGACAATTACACTAATACCAAAAACATTTTCAGGTTTCGAATTAACATCCTATAGTCATTACTGTATATCGATCAAAAACTTATGTATGTTTTTATTTTCCACATACAATATTTACAGTTCACTAACTGGATGTCAGTATGTCATAAGCTAGCTTGGTAAAAGCCAGCAACAGGTCAAAGACAATGATGTCAACAGAAATCATTAGGTTAGAACCTTATCACTATATATATATATATATAATATCAGCATAACATCTGACACTCTATGCACTGAGACTTTTGGTTTACTATAAGTGTACTTTTCATGATGATAAAAAACATGCAAGATCAAAAAGATTTGACAAATTACATAAAAAAATCAATAAAACGTAATCTCCTGATATTCAGTTCTGAAGTACTCCTTACTGCTAATTCAGCTTATATGTCGAAGAAATTTTTTTTAATTTCCTAGTCACTGTCTGGTCAAATCAAATGATAATTTATACATGTTATTTAAATAGTTACTACAATATTCATTCTATATACATCAGAAACAAGAAGCAATGATAAAGTTTTCAAGTTAAGACTAGCATAAATAATCTTAATTTATAAGAGAAGAAACTATAAGCATTAGATGATTTTACTTAACATTCTGTATTGTTCTCGTACATTATTGTGATTAAACACTTTTTGAGAATAACTAAATATTCCAGTAAAATATATTAATGCACTGAACTATAAAAACAGTGGCAATTAATCTATGAATAATGTAAATATTTAACCAACATTAGTTTCTCATAATAAGACTTAAGAATGTAGTTAGTGTTGTCACATTATTGCTGTATAAAATACAGCAAAATTTACTGTAACACATGCTATCTACACAGAACCACATACAAACTGACATTAAATATTTAGTGAATATTTGATGCCAGAACTTCTATGTACAAAAAACAAAAACAAAACTCGTTACTAAGACACAGATAATTTGAAAGTTGTGAATACATGATCATGTACAAAATTGCTATTCTATTCCCTCATGTTACAAACCTACAGTGCATTCACAAAAATTACACTTGGATCAAATGCTAATATTTTAATTATATTTTCATTAAATATTTCTATAAGAATAATTTATAATGCTCCACCATCATAATGTTGCCAAACAACCATCAATTTCTATATTTGAGCATTAATGAGTACTAATGTCCTGTTTGATGAATGAACACCAAGATTCCACATAGTACTATACACAGATGTAAACAGGAGTGATATCAGGAAATAACTACATGGACAGGTAAAAGAAAAGGAATTCAACAAAAAAATGGGAACACCAAAGCGAAACTTATGTTCCATTTAAATTTCATTTTATATTTTTAACACTTTTGTTTTAAGCCTCACGTAAATTTCAAAGGCAAAAATTAAAGGCCCGCTAGTCATAACACAATAAATTCTCAAATTTTAAATTATGTTTAGAAGTAAAGTTACTCAGCTTTATTCAAGTTCATAATATTATTATAATTACCCTTATGATAACACATATTGCTTTATCTGATCATCTGGCCCTTCTACTTCACCAATTTGCTGGGACTAACTTTTTAGAACATGGCTTGATAGTTTAATTTCTATGCAGTATTTTATACTCATCTTTAAAAATCTATATAATGTCTGCTTATTCATTCATTTGCTTCACAATATTATATTCCTGTAGTTTTTCGTACATTACATATAGGTTTAAATACTTTGTATTGTTACAATTAATATATATATATATATATGGACTACATTGAATAATATATTTAAAAAATCCAATTTACGATTTTCTTTTAAAAGCTTTAACCTTTATACAAGAAAACAAAAATATACTACTATACAAGTGATTACTGCTTTCCTTCTCACACCTATAAATACAAGTATTTGTGTGTTAAATACAGGAAGAAAACATATTACAGTGGCACTTCATCATAAAAACTAACAACAAAATGGTCTTAACCAAATAAAACAGGCACTAAAAGTTTGAAATGGGTTAGGTAGAAAAGGTGATATGTATCAATTTTGTATTTGGATATTCAACCTGTTTTTCTATATATTAACAAAGATTAAGCTGTATGACAAGTAAAATCACTCTGGAAACTGTGAAAAAAGCACACAAAAAAAGACAACATAACAAACTTCTAGCTTTTAAAATGTGCTTCAAAAACGTGTTAGTGAGCATGACTGCCCATGCTGATGAAAAATATAAAAAAAATTGTCATTCTTTTAATATTTTGATCCTGAAAACATGCTTTACTTAGTAAACATTAGATCATGGTTCTTCAGTAGAAACTCTGTGAAGTGGTTGATGTGAGTAATGGACGAAAGAGAGGCTTGGCAGCTCTGTGACCACACTAAATTCGGACCAAATACAATTGCTAGGTTGGAGGCAGTCATTTTATTCAAGTCACTGCAATCAATCACCTAATTAAGAAGTGAAAATAATGGTTAAAACTAATAATTTCAAAACAAAATGAACTAAAATCAATATATTTTAAGTTTTGTAATTGTACCATAAATAAAACACACACTTGAACATAAATATAATATCAAAATTGGAAAGTTTCAAAATTAGTCATACAAAAAATTCATTATATCACATTTTAACTATACAAAAGTAAAATACAGAAACCAGATACTATTCTGTACATTACTTTTATACAATAAGTTTACATTTAAGTGTAATTTCAAAATAATTATATTTCACTTGCATAATCTCTAGAATCTCCTAAGTGAATATCAAAAGTTTTTTAAGGTAATTGTTTATATTTTATTTGTGATTTTCTCTACAACATCACTAACTCTAGCTATTATCATCAATGAAATGTTTAAAATTAAGAAATGGAAATATATATATACCATTTATTTTTTTCATTGAGTAATCTTACAATATCTTCTTTGGGCCATATACGAAATTTTCCTTTCATGTTCTTTATCTTTGGTTACTTACGTTGATACACCTCAATAGGTGCCTGCAGGCAATATAATGTTAACATCGGCAGAGATGGTTTAACCTCTGGCAAAATGTTGTTTGCACTCACTAACTTTATGAATGCTGGTTGATCGAAGCAATACATAGAATAAATTTAAAAATCATTACACCTTTCAAATATGAATTTTAAAACACAAATAATACATAATTAACTAAAGTATAAAAATCAAACCTAAATTTCATTTAACTGTCTGTCAAACTAATATGTATAAGGTGAGAAAAACTAGCGAAGCACTAGGAACACTGTTCTCAATGATGGACTAAGCTTAAGTTCTACTTCCTTTGTAAAATGCATACATCACTTAACTTCCCTGCCTTTGTTACAACATATATATCATGAAATCTGCTCTTTTTATTGGTTATAAGCATGTCATTCAAGTTAAAACTGTTGCTTAGCAATACAGCTTCTACTTTGCAAGTGGGCATGGCTTATCTTGAACTGAGAAATTTTTACAGTGGTTTCCTTCAGGAAAAGTTTTTGGAATGTACTTGAATTACAGGTAAACAACTTATATACGGTGTACTTTAAACATCTGAATGAAAACGTCCACAATGCACACAGTTTTTCTACACCAGTACTGAAAGTTGAGATTTGTAACCGTGAGCTCGTCACGTGACAATAAAAACTGGAGTTATAACTATTGTTTTAGAGGTTTATTTTGAAACAAAGGAATAAAAACTTACATAATATAAAACTTTGAATTATAATATATTTGATAATAATAATTTATAGTAAAGTGGTTTAATTAAATTTTGAAAAACGTGCACAGAAAGGTTTTTAAAAGGGCATTATCCTGATAGGGTTAAACTGTCTTTCAAATGAATGTATATATTCTAGTCAAAATTAAATCTATTGCTTATAACTCATAACCAGGTGTGTTTTAAATGACTTTTTTCCTCATAGTTATCAATCAAATTTACTTGTGATTATAATTAAAATTACGTCTTTTCTAATAGGATGCAATACATAATTACTAATTGACAGTAAACAAGGCAGAGAAAGGATTGAAGCAAGTTCAAACCAAACCTTTAATAACTGGTGGCTAAATTATTTATAATGGAAATCACCTACTAGTTGCCAGCTGATTTTACTTGCCTATGGAGTAACTGTTCACAATCTTATTTAATAGCTTTTGTTTTCAAAATAAACCTCAGCATATTTACAAAAATTTCAGTAGGAAATTTGGCTTCATTTATTTCCTCAATTTATTTTTAAGCCTACAAATTTTTTTTCAGAGATCTCGTAAGGTTCAATTTCCTATAAATAAACTATACATTTTAAACATTACATGCCAAAAGATAAACTTTGTCCAGTGAAAGATTACACAATTCAAGGAGTTATTTTCAAACTGTTAGAGTAATTCAAATTTGTCTACTTTTTTGCATGTTATTAGTCTATATTCTTTGGTGCATTACTATCTATAGTATAAAAATTAGGGTTAACTCTCTTCGAAAACCCGAGAGCAAGAAAAAAGAAGATTGGGTAAATACTTTATTTCTTGTTTTTCATATTTATTCTTTATTTATTATTATTATAAAAGTAACTAAAATCTAAAAATATGGATCTTTTTAAGTTATTTAAGACTAGATTAGGTAAAATAAGTAATAATAATAATAATATAATTAAAATGGTTCATGAGGCATGCATGCGAACAGCTCGTAGGTAATGTAATTCGATGGAATAACGTGAGCTTCACGTTTCCCAAGTGATTTACAACTTATAATGGTGCAGATAGTAGTTAGACATGGTTCAAAGGGCAATAAAACAATAACATTTAATTATAAATAGATGTATAATGTTATGAACTTAGAGCTACTTAGGATAAATGAATGTAGTTTCATGTTACAATTTGAAGTCATTCTAGAAAGAAAAAGAGGGTAATTTAGGTTCATTTCGATTTTTTGGGGTTGTTTACAAGGTCGGTTGAATTATCCAATCCCATTTTGAGATATGGTAAAGAAAATAACAGATAAACCATAAAGTTTTACTAAAAAAAAACGTTTGAAATGCATTTAGGAGGTTTTAGGGATTACACAAAGGAAATTTGAGATTTTTGAGATGAGGAAAAGTATTTTTAATTTTAACATCAAAATTACTTTTCACGCAGACTATTTAAAACAAATACTCAATATATTCATGGACAAATCTTTATTTTATTTTATTAAAAAGGCTTCATTAAGAAATATGAGTTTTTGAATGTGAAAGACTTGTAATGTTAACTGGAAGACTGCCAAATTTCATGAAGATATACCCACTATATTGAGAGTTATAAGTATTAAATTTATAAAGACTTGAAACGAGTACAAAAAGATCACATTGTCGGTCAGATTAACCAAGCCTGCATTGAAAGTGTTAATGGTGAAAAAAATTATTTGCTAATGATAAGAGGCTTGGCCAGGTGGTTAGGGCGCTCAACTTGCAATCTGCAGGCCGTGGATTCGAATCCCTTTCAGGGATGGCTAGCGCAGACAGTCCTCGTGTAGCTTTGCATGAAATTCAAAACATCCAAACAACTTTGGCTAGATGGGCACTAACCATCATTCTCCTTAAAAAGTTGGAAAGATTCATGCTTTCATCCATTGTTTTGCAGAACTAACCATGTTATAACTACATGTCTGCTTTTTTTTTAGAACTTAAACAATCATCTGATACATATAATCAAGATATTTTGCATGTTCAAACAAATGGAGTATTATGTAAATGTGTGTGTGTGAGTGAGAGATCTAATAACGTAATCCTACTATGCCGTTATTGTTCTGTTTTGTGCACGTACAAGATTACAAATTGTAACATAAAGAACATTTTGTTTTCAATTATTAGATATTACTTAATAGTAAAAGACTTGATTTTATAAGTGTAGAATAAAAATAACATTCATTGATTATATAATGTTGGAAAATATACTACATTCAAACTACTATTATGTGCTTGATAGGTATAAAAATGCTTAATTGTAATTTTTCTTTATCTCTTATCATTATGTACTTCTAAGTGAAGAGGTGTGATGTAGTGATGGTTGCCCGGAAGCAAGTTTTGTATTAAAATAGGAACTTGCATATTAAAGATCTTTAAAAAAAAAATAACATGCATGCACAAGCCTTCATAATATAAATGTAATTATTCTTGTGATATTTCTAATGAATACAACCACCAGAAGATCCTGTAACTGACAACAAGAACTTTCTTTGAATAAGTTAATTTATTTACACATTAATCAAAGTCCAAACTCGTATGATATATTACATTGTTTTTGGTGTTATGTATTATGAATAGTTACAATGAGTATTTTTGATTGTGCTGTGTTATTTTAATTAAAGATTTCAACAGGGTCTGCAAAATTTGTAATAATCAGAAAAGAAACTAATTGATTCATAATACTTTGGTTACCTAATCCCATTATTTGTCCACAAGGTGCAAAACAAAACTCATAACCTAGAGCAAATATTGAGTGTTTTAAGTGCAGAGCTTAACTTTAGAATTCAGAAATCTAACCTTAAGATAAGGCTAGCTACCTAGCTTACTCCCAAATTTACCATATTCCCAAAAAGTGAATCTTACTTAAAATGAAAATATAGAAAAAGAGCATCTTGAACTCAGTATATTACATGTACAGTTTTAAAACACAAAGTTATTTAAATAATATAACCTTAGGGGTAAAATTTTCTTTTTTAGATCAATAAATAAAACTATCTTTTGAACTGCATCAGCTTCAAACAAGTAACAAACATCAATAAAATTTACAGATATGTAATTCTGTTTATTATGAGGGTAGGAACTTCAAGTAATTCCTCAAATGATAATTTTTGTTTGGGGGGGGGGGGGACTATACGATCAAGGTTATGCTTAATGGTTGTTGTATTTAGGTTACTAAAAAAATCCAAGAGAATTTATATCCATATGAAGTTGAAATCATTTAGTTTTTTTTTTCTTTTTGCGCTCCCCTCGACGCGGATTCCTGTACGTGGTGAGGGGACCTCCCAGGGAAGGTTCTGTATTTTCAATTACTTTCTCTGGGATCTAAACATCCACCCACGTGTTTGCCGTGTGTGGCGACCCGTGAAGGGGAGGAGAGGATCCTGGTAGTTGAGTCGTGTCTGGGGCACTGCAACACACCACTTTGGCCTTGAATTCCTGTAGACGGATGGCCTTGGGTTGGCCCTCCTAGGGTCAGTCGGCTGGTCCACTGGGGCTAGGGTCAACTGAGTACCAGTGTTGGGGCGTTCTCAACGGGTGTTGTAGACATCATGTTTGATGCTGGTGTTTGGGTATAATGCTCACGAAACCCTGGCATTACTGCAGTGTCCTTGTTTGACATTGTAGTGCGTCCCCTCGTAGGACTCCATGGTGGGTGGGGTCAGTGGGCACTGAATCTCTCTCTCTTTAATTATGGATCCCCCCATTCCAAATAAAAAAAATGTTAAAAATC